GTGAAGAAAACGTGCGAAAGATAGTTTTGGGTATAGACGGAAGTGAACACTGCGAGCGAGCTCTTGAATGTAAGTAAAGGGCAACCTTCCAATTATTTCGAGATGACTTTTTCGGTCGAACCATAATTATTCAGGTCAGGTTCAAGCTGGTTGAGGGTTGTGCAATATTTTTGATCAGAAAAAGCCGCAGAGTATGAGTTGTTTTTGTTAAGAATATCTATCTAGCAAACGTTTTGAGATCTGGATGTAAAAAGAATCAATCATCTTTTGGGTCGTGTCAGGATTCACGTACTTACCCACAGTTAATCATGTGTAACTGAATACATTAATTTCGCGATGGAAATACAACTTTTAGGAGCCGCAGGGATTCGGAGAGAGAGTTCGAATGCACTGAATAAAATCGTGTAAATAGTTTTGAGGTGAACTGGAGTCATTTGAGCTCGTTGTGTTCTAGAACAGAGTTTCACTTTAACAAGTAGTACGCTACAAATTTTATTACTAATTTTCTTGAGTAGAGGATTACAGGTACTTTGGTAATTGTCATGTGACTTCTCGTGAACTGTCAGAAACATGAAGCCTGTCACGTCTAGCGGATTTCTCATCATTACTTGGCATTTAACAGTCAATTTCTCGCATTTTCTTGATTCATTTTCTTTGTAACCTACTTAGTGGTGACCATTTTATTTAAAGAGAAAAAGAGCTGTACAAACATCCCAGTGATATCTAATGAACCATCTCTTCATCTGAATCAAACAAAATCCAATTCTTCAAATGGTTTCTGTGGCTAGTTTGTTAAATGATGAAACTTACTCAAATCTTCCTGACAAGTTTGCCTAAGATATGAAAAAAAAGTCATGAAAATTGTGCTACCTTGTCATCAAATTTAGGACCCCCTATATACACTGAATGGATTTAAATAAAGAATGGAAGGTAAACACCTGGTAGTTAATGTATATTATGTAATCCAGGGTAAAGATATTGTTTACATTTGCTTCACAATAATAAGTATTGGATCTATATGCCATACTTGGCTTAATGCATTTATTTTTCACTCAAGCAATTAGCTTCCATTTCAAGCAATAACTTTTTCCTGCACTAAGGAGATATCATCACTTGGGAGTATGTTATCATTATAAAGTGTGTGTACCCCATGATTTCTTGCTCACTGTTAAAATAATCATTAGAGCAAAATTTTCAGCCTTTAACATTTTGTTCTCTTATTTTTTTTTTTTGCCTCTCTCTACACAGGGTATGTCAAAAATCTCTCTAACAAAAAAACTGACAAGTTATTTATAATCCACGCACAGGAGCCTCCAACAATTCCAGCTGCTCCCTACCCCTGTAAGTAGAACTAAACCTGTAAGTACCCCTGTAAATGGAACTAGACCTTAGTTATAGAAGACAATGGTTCAATGAAAGTAATTGTAAAATGTTATGATTATTTGGCTGTCAAGCATGATGTAATGGAGTTTTTATGTAATTTGTGTGGCTATCATCGTACGGATTACAAATAACTCAACAGTTGAGAGGTGTATGTGATAGTCTTGCAGATATTGTATATATACACACTGTTGGTTTTATGCACTTAAATTTTAATAAAAATAATAACCCAAAACCTCTAGGCCTTGCAAAGGTTGGTTTTGATTCAAATATAAATATCAGTCCAATCCCTAGTTATACTACCGTCACTTTTAAAGTTCTGGTTTGCATTCCTTTTTTATAACTGGCTACCAAAGAGTCCTAAGTAAGCCTAATGTTCAGATATGGGCAGTTTTTCTTACAGCATCCTCATCTGTCTAGAAAACCCTTCAACCTTTTCAGTGGCCTTGATAGTCTTGAAATTACCTTTTGGTCTTGTTCCTTGAATTTGATTGAGTAACATTCCTTAACCTTGAAAAACCCTTTGATTTTTAAATTACAGTTTGAGAATACACTTGCATGATTTTTTTTCTTTTAACCCTTTCACTCCTAAGATCTCATAAGTAATTCTCCATACTGACTACTGTACAATTCTTATGATTTTTGTTCTGAGAATTTGTTACTGGATCAACTGATAATCCCCTTATTGATATTTCTCTTTATTCTCATCACTTGTTTGCTTGAAATTACATGGATATTGTAGGGAGAAATTCTTTCTTGGTCACTCATAGGAGTTAAAGTGTTAAATACAATTGCTGAGGTGATTATAGTGATGCCCATGCTTTTATGGTTGAGGATTGTCCCCATAATAAACTGAAAAATAACACCAAAACAACTATTTGCCTTAAGCTCGTGGAATATGGTTCAATATTCCCTTGACTTTGTCATAGGGAATATTCAGCAATAATTACTTTGCCTCTGGCAAACAACGATAATAAAAATATTACATAATCCATGGGCAGACTGCTCCCTCAACCAATCTGAGTAACTTAAACTCATGGTGAACCAATTGTACAGATAATGAACTCGGAGCTTTAATTGTTTTTTTTATAAAAGCTTATTCATTTGATTGGTAATTTGCAGACTGAAATGTTTAATCTTATTTCAGATGGTTATGCATACTATGAGGAATGGCAGCATTTACTTCAGAAAAGTGATAAACATGCCAAAGAACTGTTGGAGAGCTTTGGAGCAAAGTGTAACCACCACGAGGTTTGTGATTTTTTTATGTATACATTTCGCTAGTGAACTGTTGGATAAAGGGTCAATTTAAAAAAATCCTTAGGATTGTACTGGTGAAGCAACATTGAAGGTAAGGGTGAAAATTCCATGATGAGAGTTACTATGCCCTCCTGAAAATAATTTGTTTCCTGGTCACAGTGCCTTTTTTTTTGCAGCATCCTTTTCTCCAGAAAATCCATAAATTAGGAGTGGTTAACATGGTGGCAGGAAAGTTTTGTTGCATAGGCCCCAAATGGCATCAAGCAGACTGACTGAAGTCTTAGAAAGCAATGATTAAAAGTGTCTTGCCCTGGCTGCAGACTGAATGCTATCCACAGGCTAACGGGAACAATTTTCACAGAAATGTATGCACCCTAGCTTTCCTAGAAATGTATGCACCCTAGTCTCAGTTTTGGACTAATTGCAGCATGTTGCCAGCCAAGGTGTTTAGAAATTATCTCTGCTGCCACCTTTGGCAGCTCATAAAACCATCCCATTTAAAAGTAAGAGATTTGCTTTTATCTTGGCAGCTGAAGTTCAAGTTGTACAAAGAAGAAAGTAACAGACCTGGAGAAGTGATTTGTAAGCTGGCAAAAGATGAGGGTGCAGATATCATTCTTATTGGTTCACGTGGTGTTGGAACTCTGCGCCGCACATTTCTTGGTAGTGTTAGTGACTACTGTGTGCACCATACCCATATTCCTGTGGTGGTTATTCCACCTCAAGATTCACATGGTGACCATGCCCATGCACATTAATTATATATTTTACCTTTGAAGAGTCCAACTCTCATGTTAAGTGTGTAACACTGATTGTAGAGAGGGGTAATCATTCATGATCTCCAAGTGCAAAAGGGGCACAAAACAGATAATGATTGAAAATTTCACAGGAACCTGAAGGCATTTGAAATAGAAAACTACAATGGTTTTTTTCTTTTTCAACAATAAGTCTTCTTAGGGTTATAAATATCATCAAATTGATTATTGTCTTGAATTTTAACTTTTGATTCACTGTGAGTAACTTAAATATACTCAAGTTTCTGCAATCTAACTGTTTTCAATATCTTCTGTGGAGATTAAAAGGATAGAAAAGTATTCTGTTGTGGCAAGAGTGTTATTAATGCATCTATCAATTTGAAACATTAAATTTCTTTCTCCCCCCCCCCCCCCCCCCTCCCAAGCAACCCTCTAGGAATTTGACTTTTGAAGATAGGTTTGTTCAAATTCACAGCACCTGGGCCGAAATTGCATTCAAATGACTTACCCTAGTGCAGGATTTGATGGTCAATTTTTTTGTAAAGGCAAGATCAGTGACCATGACTTTCTTGTAGCCTTTTTCTCCTGAGCCATCTGCTCCTGAACATAAACTCTTACCCTTAGAAGGGGTGTTTTCCGCTGGAAAGAAATGACAGCTCCAGTTCAAATTTCCTACCCCACACAGGCAACAAACAAATTTCCCACCCCCTGGAGCACAGAATGCAACAAAATACTGTTAGAAGTTTGCAGGCATAAATTCACGGGCTGCATTAAGGAGTGCTAAACATGTACACATGTATTTGAACTAATCTCAATGAGGGCACTAGTAATGATCTAATAATAATATGCACATTCAGGGTTGTCAGTTATTTGTGGCTTTCACTAACTGCATGGTTTATGTTGGAGTAATGAAATGACCTTTTTTTAACCTAAACTCATTGTTACACAGACAACAGACAAATGCCCGTGGGTTGTATGAATCAAATAAACATGACATGCATGAAATTAAAAATCCCTTAGGCCAGTACAAGGTTCCACTTCCTTGTTGAGCGAATGAACTGAAAACAGTTTACCCCAAACAACCATCAATTACAGAATAATATCAAATACTCTACCTTTTTTTCTTCGTTGCATTTTCTAACTTTTCTCAGCTATCATTTTGAAGTAGCAACAGTGGTCAATTACAGAAATCAAACCTAAAAGTTACCTCCACAGCCAGTCAGAGTAAAGGAAAATATCACATGACTGTTAAAAAAACAATTAAACTGCGAGCAAGTGAGCAAGTTGAGTTTCATTTTAGTTTTGCTTCTGATTGATTTATACATATAGGTTGACATAAGTTTACAAACCAAGAACCGAGTAAAGAAAAGCCTCATAAGATCACTCTTTACACTCAATTGACTCCAGTATGTCACCTCATTGCTTACATAGTGGCACAGATTTCCTTTAAAACAATGTGATCCCATATAGAGCGTGGTTCAGGAATGACAAGTATTTTTAAACCATTTTAAAAAATTATTGATTTGAAACGTCACTATTAAAAAAAAAAAAAAAAGCCTTCCCCTCCCTTCTTGAGCTTCACTGAGGAGAGATTCTCGCGACTTTCGTGTGGAATCGAGCGTCTTCCCGCGCCCACGCGTGTTGTTCGTGGGTTCTGGATGAATTTCTGACAGGTACCAGTTCATTTTGTCCACGTCCAAACGTGAAAGTCAACATGTCAGCTGAAGCAAGTGAATGCACTGCGAGGAAAATTCTCATTGCTGTCGATGGAAGTGAACATGGTGATCATGCATTCGACTGTAAGTATATCGTGGAAATACGGCGTTCATAAGTGTATCTTTTTCATTTCTCTGCTGAGAGAAGGTCATGTCCTAAACGTTCGACGCTGTCTTACGAGGTCTTTGCGTGATCGAGATCACGCACATTTTCAAATGAGTCTCCACTTTTCCTTCTAATATTCGAAGTAATCAGGAACTTTGAATTTTTTGGTGCAAAAGAAACGCCATACGTAGCCATCGAGAAAACGAGTCATTATTTCATTTTTGCCCTTTTTGGATCTGACAGAGGGCCTTCTCTAAAAGTTGGCCTAGTGCCACTGAGGCAACGTTTGTACGTTTTGTTAGTAAGTAGTAAACGCGAACTGGCTTACGGAATTTCACAATTTTGCTCCAGCGCATTTTCATACATTGAAAGGCTCCTAACGCAGTAAAACGTATCAGGGTACTCAGCACAAAAATAAATTCTCAAATACCGAAAAATGATCAATATTAAACTTCTCCTTACGGTGACCATAGTAAACAGGCTTGAAACAGTCGATAAACTCATCAGCTGGAGGATTTTACATCAGTTAAACTCCAATTTTTTTGGGAAGTTATGGACAGGAAAATGGGTCTGGCCAAGAAGAAAGGATTCTGAAGTAAATCTGTTGAGTACATAGTTTAAAGTAGGCTCCCCAACCAATTTTTTGGCCACAGGGAGAAATACATGTAGGGTCCTGTTTAACACTGCCTGGATTATGAAGTGTTTTTCTCATGTGAATTGTAGATGTTCTTATATAATGAAATCAAAACCTTTTTTGATGGAGTAGTTGAGTGGCAAGGTGATTGGAAGTGATTTCGTTAGAAATTGGCCTTAACTCTAGAGAACCACTATCACTGTTACTCTTTAAACCCTTTATGCCCATCAGTATTTTGACCCAGGCAGTCAAAGTGATGTCTTCAGGACTAACAAAAAAAATAATTTTCAAATAGTTACAGCTCTATATATAAGATTATTGCCAAAGATCAAACAGGTGATTGTATACATTTTTAATAATGAAATTTTAATTCAAGGGTACATGGAAAAGATTCATTCTGCTGGAGATTCTGTGATTGTGTTACATGCATTTGAGATTCCTTCTCTTCCATATTCATCTGGGCCATGTGAGTATACTCAAATGTAGCACTTTTGTCCATTATAAACTCTTTTATTGGCATGCAGAGTATAGGTTGGTAGCTAGGTCATATTTATGGTGTGCACACAAATGAAAGGGGAAATATTCTTGGGCCCCCAAGGCAGGGAAGGGAAGGGAAGGGAGGGTGTTAAAAATTAAGGTGGGTAGTGCAGCAACCCCATCCTTTTTTCAGCCAAAAGCAGATATTGTCCCCACCTTATTTTATACATGAACAGCCACCAAAATAATAATTCTGAAAAATATCAAATTCAACTCGAAACCCACCAGAGAGTGTGCTTAGCCTTAGCCGTAAATAGCTACAGCCCTACCTAATTTTAGACCAAAGCAAACACAGCTGAACCTCTCTGTAAAGGCCAACCTGAAAACATCATCATAGTTTTGAGGTGGGGTGTGATATAACACCTGTTTTATTTTGGACAGTTACAACACATTTGTTTTTTTAAACCACATTTAAAATTGTGTTCATAACAGGATCTGAGTGTGTATTGCAAACCAGTTTGCATCATCCAATAGCAGTGAAACAAAACACTGTGGTACATATTTAAAAAATTTTATTAAAAAAAAAACCAATAAGGTGTAACATGTAACTTCACCAATGAAGGGCAATTCATGTAGAGCAACCTTTTTGCTTATGTCAAATGAAATGATGGAGATTGTGCTTGAATTTGGTTCATCAGTAGTATCACTGCAACTTGTAAAACTTGAAACTTGTTCACTTTAACCCCCATGACGATCATGACAGAATTTCTTCCTCACAATAGACAGAGAAGTGATGAGGGATTATTGGTTGATCCAATACCAAATTCTCCAAACTAACATGATAAGAATTTTACTGCAGATGGTATAGAGAATTACTAATGAGATCTGGAAGTGAAAGAGTTAAAAAGTTTTTTTAATTGTTTATTTCATTTGTTGCCTGATTTTTTTTTGTAGAAAAAGCATTTTTAAAGTACAAGCAATACATTTCTGCAAAGTATACTACAAAATAATTATGTTCCTGGTAATGCATCAACCAATTTGAAGCTTCAACATTCCCTCTTAGCAACCTCCCACCCTGGACATTTTAACTTTTTAAGATTAGTTTGTTCAAATTCCTGTCCCTAGGGGCAAAAATTGTGTTCAAATGCCCCAACCAATTTTTTTTTTGTAGAAAACAACATCAGCACCATGACCTCCTAAACATTAATGAAAAAAGTAAAAACCTAGATTATGTAGATCTTTACTTCAGAGTCATTTGCTTGCAAAGGTGAACTTTTTACCTTAATTAAACACTTAACACCTTCAATTCAAATTCCCCACCACACCCAGGCAGGGAAAGCAGTGACATATGACTGTGGGTTGCACAGAAAAGGGAGGGATTTTAGAGCTTTGAATTGATTGGCACATAAAACTTTTAGGATTTAATCAACCATTATCAAGCTTTTTGCAATGAACAAACATGTTAATTTTTTTATGGCAGTTGTGTTTGCTTACTATGAGGAATGGAGTGAAATGGTCAATGGTCTTAGAGAACAGGCAAAAGAGATGATGCTGGGATATGAAGAGAGATGTAAAGAGAAAAAGGTATTTTAATATCCATCTCTCACAACTTGTTATTCTTTTATTAAACCCAATCAACACAGAGCAGTTTTGTCCATCTATTGTCAACCCTCTTTTAAACTCCAATGAGTGAACAAGACAGAATTTATCCTCACAATATCAATACAGCATCAAGCAGACATGTGATGAGAATAAAGACCAATATAAATTAGGGTTGTTCTTTGGTCCAAAACCAAATTGTCCAAGTTAACAGAAAGATTTCCAGATTTCAGGGAAAAAGAGAAATAAAACACAAAACGATAGGACAAAATCATTACATGCTTAGTTTATTTGAAAGTATTTAAATGGGGATCCAGGTGTGCCAAAGGGGAAAGGAGGTTGTTGTTACATTCAGAAAACTTTTGTCTCTTGTGTTCAAGACATAGCTCCTTTACATTTAGAGAACTATCAATTGAGGGTGTCTTTTGGGAGCGATGATGAAGTGATTACAGATCACTACATCCACATGTGACAACATTGAAAAATTAATTAAGGTAGCAAGTTACAGTGTAGTTCTTTATATGTGCATGTTGGTCATCCCTTTTATCTCTTCAAGGTTATCATTTTAAGCCCAACAAGATTGGCCAATGATGGAGGTTTAAATTATAATTTTTATGACTTAAATGCCCATCATGGAAGTCATAATAAGCATAGGTGATTGTAGCTGATTAGTCAGCAAAGTGGACTGACCAACTGAGTAATTTGGTCTCATCAACTGAGTTGATAATGTAATTAAATCAGCCAATAGTGATTACAATTAAGGGCTAACACAAAGGGTTCACTCTTGGTTTCCAATTCACATCATCAATTCAGTTTTTAAAACCAAATTATCTTTTATTGCCCAACACTGATGCAGCACCACAGTTTCTTTAGAAACATCTCTGTTATTCATTAATCAATTGAGTAGCTTATTATTACTGTTTTGTAGGTCCATTTTGGTTGATTTTTTTTTTCTTCAATTTAATCCTTATTATTTTAGTTACATTATGAGATGATCCTGATTGCTGGTAAGCCTGCAGGTAATGTGATATGCAGTGAGGCTAAAACACAGAAGGTGGACCTTGTTATAACTGGTTGCCGTGGACTGAGCAAAGCTAGACGTACAATCCTCGGAAGTGTTAGTGACTATGTAGTGCACCACAGTGGCCTTCCTGTCTGTGTAGTACCTCCTCCTTTAAAAAAACATGACCAATGAAAAATATTCAGATACACAGATCTGATTCCAGCTGCAATTAGACATACTGCTCCAAGAGAAAAACACTTTTTGGTTTACACGAGGCATTCATTTTTCATAAACGTCTTAATAACTGAGAGTGAGGGCCATACTAGGGAATATTGGCCTGAGGTCCAAACCAAAATGGCTAAGGGCCAATATTCCCCAGTACAGCTTGAGCAAGTGAGGTTAGTAAGTAGTTATAATTATATGGCACCCAGACAAATCTTGTTTATTTTCAATTTGCAAGCTTTCCCAAACTTAAATAAGGAACTGTCGGTATGGCAAAATCCTGACCAAGTAAGGGCCAATCAGAATGACTGGATTTACCTCAGGATTTCATATGTATCTTGTAATGTAATTAAATTGAGTATTTTAATTGGGCCTGTTTCAAATGCCAAGCTGCAGTCACTAGAAACTGGCATAGATCACAACTTGTTTGATCTGTGTAGATGATCAAAAGGGTTACAGCTCTGCAACTGAGAAAATGCATTACCACTGAAAAGGATACTTATTAAAATATTGTAAGTAGTCTGAGAAGATTTTAACCAATTGTTATCAAAATAGGGGTTTCACTGGTCATATAACTAATCGTTTAAACATTATGAACATGCAAACAATTTAAACTATTTCTGGTTCAAATTTTCTCTGCGTTATCTAAATGGTTACAGAAACTGTACCAGAGTTATGGAGATTTAGATTGCCGTAACTGAAGATAATTATCATTTTAAAAGTCCATTTACCATTGCAACTTTCAGTCACTGTCTGGTACTTAAAAATTTTTATCTAGGCTACATCAAATTTCCATGATTACAAAGTTTCTCAATTTTGGATCAGACTCTTTCACGTGTGTCTTCAATTATCATCAAGATAATAATTAACAACTATTCACCAAAGTGGAGCTAGGTTGCCGCGAGGTTAATATCCACTGCAAGCCACAGCCATAGAGGTGAACAATTATCTTAGAATATACTAGATCAGTGAGATAATATTGCACTTAAAGATGATTTTTGTTCCTGCAAGATTACAATATTTTCTGCTGCAAATCCCATGTTAGTCACTTGAAGGTTAATGACAAAGGATATTTTTAGTTTGAGTACCCAATCAAGAGTGTGCCTTCAATGCCATCCACTGATTTAGTATATACTAAATGTCAATTACAGACCCAGTTTACTAAGTGCATTCAGAAGTTACAATCATCCACATATCACACAATCCTCTAAAATATTTTAACTATTGCCACTTGACATATGGTAAGCATAGAGGTCAGTAATATTATTAAGGTAATTTAATTAAGTGTACTAAGCTACAAGTATTTACATACTGTAACTGTAGAAGAATTTTACTATTTTGAGGTTTAAAAAACTTCCCAAAAGTATTCTTGCATAAACATTGAAGTTAAGTGATGTTAAATTTCAAAACTGGATTGTCCTTTTTATTTCTGTGGTTTGTTATGCTTTGTCCTCCAAACTATAGCCTTGCAGATTTTCCTAATTTAAGATTTTTCTGAGCGAGAACTGGCACTAGATGTTTCTTTAGCCCCGCTCCGTCTCCCTCTCCCCAGCCCTCGCCGTGAAGCACCGCGGCCTCCTCTTCCTCTTCTCACTGATGAACTTTTGGTAGGACTTGGTGACTCTAAATCATGAACAAGAAAATTCGCATCTATAACTTCTGGTGAGAACTTGAAAGTGTGCTTGATAATGATGAACTCTCACTCTCTCTCACTCTCTTCAGTTATTTCATCTTTTTTTCCCTCTTTTTCGATTTGTGTTTTATACCACTATAATATAATACATTAACAGTTGAATGACGTAAGATTGAGTATTACTGAGAATTCACCTGTCACGTTTTCTTGGGGACAGTCACGAGCTAGTTTATTCTCGTCAACCCAGTTGATCCACGCTTTCCATAATTCACAATGTTCAAGGGTCTTCTTGTTTCCAATCACTATCATTCCTCTACGGGCTCGAGTCAAAAGTACGTTCATTCGTTTATCGTCATTCAAAAAACCGATGAACCCGTGCTCGTTGCAACGTACGGCGGAGAACACGATAACGTCACGTTCTTGTCCCTGGAATCCATCCACTGTTCTGACTGAGACATTTCCAAGATTTTTTTGTTTCATCTTATCCAAGATCAACTTAAGCTGCGCTTGGTAGGGTGTAATTACACCTATCCCGTCACTAGTCACGTCTCCTGCCCCGAGAAGATCACTGACCACTCCACACACTAGTCCGGCCTCAAAATCGTTGGACTTGGACGACCCCTTGCTCTTTTCCATTGCCGAATGTGGCGTGTTAAGGAGTGCTACAGGCATCTTCTCGTTTGGCCATATGAATCCGACAGGGGCTTTCCTCTCCGACTCAGTCACACCATCCTTAAGCTTATCATCATAAAATTGACATGATGGAAACCGCGCTATGGATGGGTGCATTCTGTATTGAATACTGAGCATGCGTACAGGAACTCCCACTTGGCGAAGCCGTGAGAACATGGAACATGTCAGCAGGTCTGGACCTTTAGCAAACTTGCTTAGCACCATGGGAGGAAGCTGCTGATCATCTCCTTAAAGATGCAGAATAAAACAGATTGAGCTTACAACACTTTAACCATAAACACAGATGTAATTAGAAGATCCTCGCAGCTAAGAACACTACTGAAACTAGTAGTTGTAAGTAGGAGTGAATGAAGTGAATGAAGATTTAGATATATGAAAATTCACATATTTGCACTGCGGTGGAAAGATGAAATTAGAAGATCCTCGCAGATATATTTTCATATATCTAAATCTTCATTCACTCGGATGTTTATTTGTACCCAATTCATTGACCAGCTCCCAGTTGGCTTGTTAGCTCAATTGGTAGAGCGCTGCATCGGTATCGCAGAGGTCATGGGTTCAAATCCCGTACGGGCCTGAAAATTTTTTTCAGGTCCTACTTACAACTACTAACTAGTTTCAGTAGTGTTCTTAGCTGCGAGGATCTTCTAATTTCATCTTTCCACCGCAGTGCAAATATGTGAATTTTCATATATCTAAATCTTCAAACACAGATGTGTTGGAAAGAATCTACAAATTACGTTTTGCATTTCGATTTTGTTTGCTGCAAAAAGGCGAATCAAAACATTTTTTACTAAGCTGCTCTAAAGAAGTCATTGCTCTTCTCCCAACAAACGTCCCCTCCCCTGAGAAAAACATTCTTCATTCTCTTACAATAGATTCGTTTAGTTATCGTTTGCCAACGTTCGATGATCACTAGCCAGAGTTGCATTACGCATTCCTTCAAGTGGGTTTTGTGGGGAAGAGAGTAACTACTTTCTAAAAAATCATAGAGAGAGAGAGATTAGCATCGCCCCTACTCTACTTGCCCTTTGTCTTGTACCCTCGCCAAGAAACAAAATTATCCTCCTCGATTTCTCCATCAGTGAGAGAGTTTTAATATGATAATCTGGATTCGTTATTTCAATAGAGACTAATGGTTATTCTTTGGCATTCAGATTTTCAATTGCTCGGTAGCTTTGGTTAGAGGAATATCGGCTCCAAGAATTTGCAGTCAACTTATCTGAATAAGGGTGTGGGTTTTAAAGCACTCCATGGGAGAACGAGCTACGTTGGCATCGTCCCTAACACTTTATGTGAGAAAACAGCGGATTTCTCTTATCTCTACTCAGCAACTTACCCACTAATACAAGCTTCTCGCAGCCATGTGAAAGAGGAACAAGGATTGCTGGTTCGGTAGCCTGTGAGGCCTCATCGACCAAAACTCGCTTGAACACGAACTCATCAAGTAAGGACGAACCCGCACTTATAAGAGTAGTGCAAACAATTTTGCAACTTTCCAGAATCTTCCTTGCCACTTTTTTGTCGATTCGGCCATTGGGGTCTTTCTTTCCAGACTTTATTTGCGAGTATTTAAACTCAAAGGTCAAATGATTTATGTCCTTGGACACTTTCCACCCAGAGCTTCCAAAGCGAACAATCTCCTCATTTTGTAAGCCGTGGTCCAAAAGCTTCTTTAAGAGGTTGTCGACACCCTCATTTGTCTCAGCTACAAGAAGAACTTTGTCATGGCTGCTAAGAAGCCAGCGTTTCACAATCTCTGCGCTCGTGATGGTCTTTCCAGAGCCCGGAGGCCCCTGTATAAGGGTTATGAAGGCGTCAGTGCAAGTGGCATCCTGAACAGCTGCATTTTGACTTTTGTTACCAGACCACTTTGAGAAGGAATCGGCCGATGAAAAAGTTCTGGTTTCTCCGTCTGTTCTCACGACACTTGGAGCTGAGAAAGAGAAAGTTGTTGACATCTTTAACTTATAACTGCATGCAGGAATTACTTTCTTTAAAATTTTTTTTCATTTGAAACTGAGAGTTCACTGAGATGTGATAGAGAGGGACCCAGCTCACGATAAGATCGCTGCCTTTTGCTCTAGTGCATCAATAACATTAGCACCAATTTTCGTTATGCAAAGATCTTGGTTTCAAAAGGGGAAAAAGTTCACATTTTGCCATGCTCTTGAAAGAAACAGGAAGATATAATTTGACGAAACCGATACTGGAAAACATACCAATCTCCGTTGTAGAGTTTTCATCTACTTGCTTCCTTGAATCTTGACTTGATAGGTCGTCAACACAGAAACTGCCGACAATTCCTTCAAAAACGTTCTGCCCATATTTCGTTGCGCCTTGAAGAGCTTTCAGTGCTGCTGAAGTGCGTCTGTATCCAACAAGACTAGGAAATTTGTAAAGATACCAACTTCCTTTAAGAATGTTTTCCCTTGAAGAGTCATCTGAACTTGTGGGCCAGACTATATCAACTGTTAATATTGTTCCACAGATTTCTGCCACTTCACCAATGTATTCACGTTTAGAAATATCTGATCGACTGAGGGCCACGCCGTCTCGCACACGGAATGATTGAGTACCTCTTGTAATTACCAGTGTAAATTTTAGTTCTTGTTCACTGCATGGAGTAGCTTCAGCCGTGATACGGTGAGGTGAGTAGACTCCTTGAGATGCTATAACTGCTTGCTGCACCTCCTCCAGTGACTCTAAAGTTATTAGAGAATTCCAGTGCAGAAAGTACGGTAAGGCATTTGGGTGGCAAGTGAAGCCTTCCAAGGGCAGATGACCTACATGTAAAATTTAAAAGGATTCAATTCATTCCAAATTAAAATCTATAACAGAAGTAATTTTTTTCAACCCGCACGTTTGCTGGTGTTCCCAGAACAACTCGCTTTCATGACCTGACAATGCTTAGGTTTAACCACACCGGAAAAAAGTTTGAAATTGTCTAGGTGGATTACTTTCTTGCATGGTAAAGCAGCACAGACATGATTGATATAACATAGATTGAGAAAAAAAACTTTCCATCTTTTCCCTTCTTTGTCAACCTCTTAATATGTTTGTCAGATTTCATCGCATGGGTGTAACACAAAACTCTTTGCTTCCCGGTTGGTTATGATTTTATTTTCAGTCTTCTCTCTATTTGGCGTCGATAAATTGTGTTTCATTTTATATATTTCAGAGTTCCTGGAATTACGTTTGTGACTATCATCATCATTATCATTGTGACTGATTTACCTTTGCACATGACTTGAACAACACGGCATCCGGTGGAATAGTCATTTCCAAGAAGCACAGCATCGAATACCTCATACATTTGATCGACACTGAAAATGACCTGTCTTTTCCATAAAGACTCGAGACATCGCTTAAATCGTGTGAGAAGCGTGATGTGAACATTCTCGCCGAGGACAACGTCAAGATTGAGTTCCTGTAGCCCGCTAAGCAAACAGATTAGGAGATTTTTGTAATGATCAGGTGTCCCTAATGAAATATCTGGAGAGGACCGCCAAAGAACGGACTCCAAATGGCAAGCTATGTGATGCTTCTCCTGCACAAAATATTAAAGAAGGAAACAAGGCTTCTTTAAACAACTTGCTACAATGGATCATGAAATTTAGCGGTACTCAAGTCTTAACACGATACATGGTAATATATCTACCCCACCCCCTTGCACAACATGCGAGAAAAACAAGTAATTTAACATAAACCTGGCTAAATTGATGCCACGATGGCAGATAAAAAGGGAGAAACGGGTTATTTTTATGGCCGGATGTACTATAACTCTTTGCTTCCGCTACCTTTACAGATCAAATATTGCCGAAATGACAGAAAACGACTATTACAAACCTTTTCGTCAGATGAAGAAGTCATTCTTTCGCACATTTCTTCCAAATGACTAGTTTGTAAACATCCCCTTTCCAGCAGGTCTTGAACTCTTATGATATTTCTGTCCAAATCACTAACCGACTCTTCAGGGTCACATTGAAGGTCTGGGAAATCACCCCTGTGGTAGACAAATTCTTCCTGCTTTTCATTACTTCCATACGGTGTTTGGATGTTTGATTCACCTTCAAGTGAGTCCGCATTTCCAACGGCTTGTTTTGAGGAAAGTTTCTGAATCTTGTGACCAGGATCGAAATGATCATAAACACAGAAAGCTTCCAACTCAAGCAACTTCTCTCTTCGAAGTCGAGTTTGAAAATCTCGCGGCAAACTCGACTTAAAACGATCAAGAGCCACACTCATGATAGGTGCACGATCATTTTCATCTTCCTTTAAACAGATAAACGTGTTCTGTTTCTTTCCTGTGTAGATGTCGAGTCGTCGACCATCCAAAGCAAAACTGTAGCCTGCATTTAGCTGTAGAAAATGTCTCTCTGATGACTGAACATGCACTGAACAAAAGGCCTGAGCAACGTTTTCCCCCTCATCTAGAGTCAGCACTTCACAAAGGTTTAGTGGAACTGACATCGCCAAAGAAATGACCCACTGTATATCTCCAAGCAAAAATTTGAATACGAGCAGTTTTTCAAGGAACGAGATCAGGATATTGTGAAGTACCTTCCAAGACAATTCTTCACCCTCAGTTCTGTACAGAAGACGCCAGTGCTTCTTATGGCCACGTGTAACTTTGATAGTTTCGATGTCGTCTCTAGAAAGAATTCGGGATTGGTGAAGGGGATTAAGAAGGGACTCTAGATCCGCCTTTGGAATGTCTGCTGGTAGACGTGTGCATTGTTCCCAACTAAACCGGGAGAAATCAATCAGGTGAATGTACTCTTCAATGCATCTTTCCTTGTTGGGTTGCAGGCACCACTTGTAGAGATACCGAAACAATCTGTACTCACTAAGCCGTGACTCTTGGTTGGATAACAAAGCAAGCATGTCTTCCTCCTCAAAATCCTCCAGCTTTCCAGTTACAACATTTTCTATCATCTGGTCGCTTTCGAACAACATTGCTCCTTGGTACAATTTTTGCCAGACGAATTCTTCATTTTTTTCATCCTTTGTCGGAGCTTGCAAAATATGTGGCGGGATTATCACTTTCTCGCCAGTTTTAGCAGCGTCAATAGCACGAGAGAACAAGGCTGCGACAATCTTACATTCTGCAGAGTTGATTCCTTTGCTATCCGCCCATTTGTCAAACAAATTGTCCAGCTTGCCAACAACAGCGTTACTGTATTTGGCAAAATACTTCAGAAAATCATCTTGCGTGGGATTTGGTCTTTTAGCAGGTTTAGCTGCAGGATATTGGCTTGGCTCTGTTCCTTTTTTCGGAACGAGTTCTTCATCCCAGCAAACGAAGAATTTGTCCCCATCAAGATCACTTCCAGCGATCTCATCGGGATGTGGACGACTTCCTTGTGTTGGAAAAACAATGCAGTCTACAAGATGATGGCATTCAGGAATGTCGGTGCATCGCAAAACCCGGATATCGCCTGGGTGATAGCAAGGATTTTTAACCACCACCACGCGTGTTTCTGTTAAGATCTTGGGGCTTCCTCGTATCGTTGGCTGAAAGAAGACCGTTGTGGCTCTCAACTGCCCTGATGGATCGCAAACGCCGTAAACATTCCTCGATTTCTCAATGGGAATTTTTAGCTTCAACGCAGCAGACTTTTTAGTTTTGTGCAGTGGATTCGATTTGGGTCTCTGAGGTTCCCTGACCCGGTTGCGCAATTTTATAAGTCGTTGCTCAGTTTTGGGGTCTATTTTTCCTGTCTTTAACAAATTCTCCGCTAGTTCAAACTCTTCATTAACGCACAAGAACTTAAAAGCAACTTCATGGGCTGTGGTAATCTCTTTAAGTTCCTGGAAGTACTGTTCTTGCTTTTTTAGGAAGACCTCATCGGAAATACCAAGCGCTGATAAAAGCATGATGTACTGTTTGTTCAACGAACCAATTTCATTCGGCCTCGAGAAGCCCTTGTCGACGATGCCAAGGAGATGGGGTCCTGAAAGCTTCCACGTAAATTTCTCCATCGAAGGGCGGATTTGGATTCCCTCTTCCAAGCAATCATTGTGACATAGTACTCCTTTGCATCCCTTCAGGCGGATCTGAAATACCGACGGTATCGCCGGTGACTTGATGCCTTCGTACAAAGTTTCCAGGTTCAAACTCTCAGTCACTTTCAATGCACATTTAGTTGATATAAAACCACATCCATCTGTAAAATTGTACTTGTCTCGTTCCACGTCATCTACAACGCCTATTTGATCTTCAGGAATACTGCACGCAGGCTTTGCAGTCGAGAACAGCAATCCGACTCTAGCAGCTCTTTTGGCAACATCTTGAATTTTCTCAAAGTTCCCAAAACGGCTCAAGATCTCCGTCACACTACCTTGCTTCTCGTTGTAAAGAACACAAGTTCTTTCTCTGAGCTGACTGGCACTGTGGCCAAAGAATAAGAATCTCTCTTCAGTAAAATCTTTGTATCTAAGAATGACGCCGTGTGTAAGAAACTTCGACACGGCATCAAACCGCGTTGAAGGACTAAAGTGGACTACCAGAAAGTTGGCAGGATCATATTCTCGATACAGAGGGCAAGGGCTGTTTTTGGTATCCTGTACAACTTCACAAGCGAAATCCTTCCATTCCAATTTCTTGTCATCTTGAGCTTGTCTGCTAACATTTACTGTTATGGTTTTTACTGCAATACATTGACTATCTGCGGCACCTCTTTTCTTCCGCCATGGGAAGTTAATCAAGGGACAAACATCGTCTTTGCCTTTCCCGACTTGCTTCAATTCCATGATTTCTAATAAGCTTAGCCAACTCCTGATTCAAAGAAAGTGTGCAGTATTTTAAGCTTCGCCTGTCTGCAACACCGTAAAGAGCAGATACTGTCTCTATCGATCGATAGTACGGGTGTCATGCAATGAAGATAGGCATCAACGTAATCAGGTAGAAACTGTAGCTAACAGTATGAGACATGATATCGAAGTTTGTCATTTGCATAATCAACACTGTTTTGGATCCATTACTCAGGGTATAATTACTAAAATGTATCAACGGTTACTGATGGTGTTGCCCCGTTTTGACCGACGATTTTGCATTACTGAGCATTTGAAGAGAGTTTACTCTTTCCAAATCAACTTTAAATTTTCTTTTGTCAGAATTTTAGCATGTTTCGCTTTAGCGAAAAATTATCCCAGCTGCATGAAAAAACTGCTCAGATATTGTAAACGTTAACTTACCAAACTTGTTAAAGATTCCCGAGGAAATCCTTGGCGTAGCGTGGAATCAAACGCAATGAAATCGGCTCAATTCGTTAGCAGTTTCCCATACGCGGAAGTTCTTTGGCTACTGAAAAGTTCCTTGAATTCACTGAAACTACAAAACACAACTACTCGATCACAGGATCAATTCCCCGAAAGATGATGCTAGATACCTGTTATTTCATCGCACTCGGTTAAATCCTTTAACTGATAAAATATTATCAAGTCTTTCCGGGAAATAAGATTGTGTTCTATTCCCCGAAATCACGTGATGTTTTGAGACTTCAGTCTAAAGATGAGGGTCGGGTAAGTGAGGATTTCGGAACCTGAATACGGGTATAAATGCATGTTACATCGTTGATGTTTTGATATCTTCTATCTGAGTAAATTACTGATAATAATGCGCGATTGTAGAATTAATAGGATAAAAGGCAGTCAAGAAATCTCGGTACATCAATTCTTCCTTATCGCGTTTTGCCCTTCCGGGTGGTGGTGAGTGAGTTGATTAACGATTTTGCATATTAAATGTCAGTTTTCAAACCTGCTTACCAAAGCGTAAAGGGAAAATATCAGGGAAAATAACAGGGAAATAACAGAGAAAATAGCACCACATAGGATTTAATTTTCGATGCACAAATTTATAAAGGTGTGCTTCGTTTATCAATGCCGGTATATAACTGATATTTGATGGCTTGATAAACGGTGGTAAAATTTAAAGAAAGGACTCTTCAAACAATCCGGCTTTGTGGCTACAACTAACAAGTCGAAGCTAGTTATACTTCAACTGCTGCATTTCTTGTTCACAATGCTTCGAGTCTTCATCTGTGGAGCTCACAGTGTTGGTAAAACAACCTTAGTGAACGAAGTTGGAAAGCAGTTAAACTTACATGTGGAAGCTGAAGTTGCTCGAAAAGTGATCACGGATTTAAATCTTCGACGAGAAGATTTTGACCCAAAGACTAATCCATCGAAGTTCGAAGAGCTTCAGGAAAGAATTCTCGAAGCACAATGTAAAGTCGAGGAAAAGCATTCGAGAAGTGGGACGCCGTACATAGCAGATCGAGGAATTGATCCATTGGTTTATTCTTTGATGTACCTGGGAGAAAATAGCATGAAAAGACTGTTGAGTTTGCCGTCAAGCCAAGAGTGCATAAGCAGGTGAGCTTTACAATCATGTAAAATACCAAAAATAAAAGTAAGAATTCAGTTAAATTCTTTATTGACAACAGTCAGTTAAGGCTTGATAGGCTATTTGACTATGAAAGATTCTCAAAGTAAGAAGTTTGTTTATTGTCATGGTAGTTTCTTGACGATGGTGGTCCGACATTTCCTGATGTTACGCGTTCTCCAACGAAGCGGAAAGTTCATCATATGATAAACCGTTGACACACATTATTACATAACTAAAATAAAGTTCACATGATGATCACTTCGCGTTCTGTCTAATTGACATGTTTATAGTGATGCTTTGACTCAGAGAAAATCTATCGAGACGGAAAAGAAATAACTCTGAGATTACACGCTCAAATTATTCAATGCTTCAAGTGCATTTGCATATACAAAACTGATCATTCTTTTTGACAACAAAGTCTGCTTTTCTCTGAGATGTACGAGACGCTGTTTCGCTACACTTGCTAGAGCTAATTAAAGTCAGGCGAGCTATAGTTTAATAACAGACGATAAAATCTCCTGATACCTGTAACAGATTCACCTAGTCGAAACAATAGATATTATCTCTCGAGGTTCTACATTTGCTTGATTTGCTCCAAAGACGTTACTATAAACTTGAACTTGAGCGATCGTCAATTTCTAGCATATGGTTCACGCAAATCTCAATTTTCCGAATTTTTAAGGACAGTATCTTTCCCCTTTTAAACCTATCGCAGTATAATCAGTATTTCCATCTGATGGCTCATCATTAACAAGACACTTCAGTCATGGGGTTTTTATGCCACACTCAAAGTTTCTCTGAAGAAGTCTTATGAGACTACAAAAACAATTAATATAACAATAAAAGTTGCTTAAGAGCATTAGACACCACACAGATAGATCCTACCTCCGTGGGCTTTGTCTTTAAGGTTTTATTTTTAGAGCTCGACTTTCGTGGTGGCCTGGTCTGCGTTTGTCAGCTGACATTCCCAAAAGTTTCTGGTTACCTTTAACTTCGTGCTCGATGAATGTCATTCAAAAGGGAACATCAAGTGTTTTTGTTGTCGTCTATTTGCGCGTCTCGTAAAAGTATTTGGATTTGTGCTCTAATAGGAGATGTTAAATTTTTCAATATCAATAAGCCCACATGCCCATTTGTGAGCCAGAAGACGAGATAAATGGATCAACTGATTAGGGCATTATACTGAAGTTCCAGCAGGTATACAGGCAATGTAAGAGTTGAAAAGACAGGCTTAGTAGACTTCTGATGTCTTCTGCGAAGCGTGATTCAGTCCAACGGCTTTTCACCTATGTACATCTCAACAAAAAATTAATCGAAATATAAGCCAGTTGATTCTCGAGTCTAGTGATGGCTACGATGTAAGATTATATCAGCTGAATCAATTGAAAACAAGCCGAGCTGTGAGGAAATACGTAGTATTCAAAGAACGTTGTCAAACGGGATCATAACAGGGGCATATCCGGTCATGTGACGCTTTCAGACCAATCGCTTACGAGAAAAAAATATTTGATGGATTATAGTGCTTCTTATGTTTTATTCCAGGTATAGGACTTCCTTAGTGTTCGTGGTGCGACCCTTCCCAGAATGCTTACAAACCGATAGCATTCGCCTCGTTCCGAAGATGGAGGACCTGCTAAACTTCACAAACCTGATGGAGGAAGTTCTTCAGGGCAACAGAATCCCGTATACGGTCATCGACGTGTTAGACCTAAAGAAAAGAGTTGATATTATTCAAGAGAAAATAATGGAATGCGGAAGCCTGAGAGTTGTTGCAAGGACGGATGGAGACTCCTTAAATCGAGATGATTAGGTATCCTATCCAGTGGCAAGACACCATCACGTGATTTACTCGCGTGATATCGATGGTGAAAAATAAAGAAGCTGCGTTTGTGCTCTCTTACTTTAATAATTGCACACGATGCAGCGATCGCACGAAAAACGTTTTAGGGAAACACGAGATACAGTCGCGTATTTTTCACGCCTTCTTGATTGTCCTCATTTCTACGTTCACTTTCAGTCTTTTTTTATACGGAATTTATTACTTTCTTGCAAGGAAGCTTGCAAATGTTTATATTACTGACATTGCTGTGGGTAGCTTAAGCTCTGGCTAAGTTGTGCTTTTCTAAATCAAAATATATTCATAGTGTTATCTTTTAGAGATCTATTAACCCTCTAACTCCCATGAGTGATCAAGACAGAATTTCTCCTTACAATATCAAGACAATATCAAGAAGACAAGTGAGGAGAATATAGAAAAATATCAATTAGGGATTATTGGTTGATCCAAACCCAAATTCTCTCAACTAACACCATGAGAATTGTAAGGTTGACAGAAAGGAGAATTACTTATGAGATCTTGGGAGTGAAAGGGATAATTATGCATCACAGCAGATAATGTCTGTGTAGAGAGAAAAGGAAAAAAAAACAGTGCTTACATGGAACCTATAACCACAAGCTTAATAGATCCACCGAAATAATTATTTGTACAAGATATCAAAGCTTTTTGATGGAAAGTCTCTGGGCGTTGTCTCGTGCTACAGAATTTTGTAAGTCTAATAACACCGGTACCTTCATGTTTATCTCTGAAGTTGCTATGCGAAGCAAGGGGAATGTCTTTTTCACCTGCTGATTTTGTGTTACTCTTTAGATCGCCTGTCACTGAAAATCAGCGTTGTAATCTTAGTGACATGACAGACTTAGAAATTTCCTTTTCAAGGTATCACAGAAGTCAAACTGTTATCCTTGTAAAAGTATACATTTTCTTAAAAGCTTAATAAACACAGATTTCGGATATTTCATTTAATTTTATAACTTTTACCATCGAACAGAGTGGGAGGTTACTCTTTTACGCCGAGACGTTTAACAAGATAAGTTTATTTGACGACGCATTTTAGTCAACGTCTCTTTCTTATCGGAACGTGATCTGCACACACGCCTGTATTGGAAGAAAAGGAGACCTTTCCCTTTCTCCTCTTCGCGGCCTCCGGCCAAAAGTAATTTCGTAAGGAGACACTTCAAGCGGCTCATGAGGGCGGAAAAATACCATAAATGCGCGGATTAGCATTTCATTTAATTTTATTGAGATATTCAAACCGAAATATGCAATTTTCAGAGCATTATTCATAACCCTCATAGATTTTGTTAGTCTCATGTCAACAATTTTTAACCACGAACACAAAGTGTGGTCTGCCTGTGCCCACGGTATCAAGGAACACTTTTCATTTGACTTATGTATTCTTTTGTTTTCACGTTACCATGTTCTCACAAATAGCGTAGCTCCATCTTTCTGTGTGTAAACCACACACAACTTACAATTCCTCTATTCGCTCTGACGAAGGGCTAACGCTCGAAACGTTCGCTTTAGAAACTTTTTACGGTGGCCAATATACGTTATCAAATCAGTTGATAAAATTGATAAAACACTTAAACACGAGGAGAGGTCGGAAGAATTAAAGAAAGCTATTCGAACTCGAGACGAGAGTTCTCAAAACGTATCGTCCTTTCTCGTCTTCCGTATTGACATATACTTTAAAAAAACAACTTGGTTTAGCTAAGCCTTTACACCGTAACATCAGAATGCATATTCTCCATACTGTTCTCTACATGTTTGTTAAGGTGCTGACGAGGAGAATTTGGTTGGCAATGTAGAGCTTCTTTAGTTGGTGATCATTCATTCGCATCCCTCTCTCTTTAGCACCCAGGAACCTTACGTTTAAACTTTCATAATTCGTTCTGGCTTTCAGGATAGCATACGTCATTTTGCAAGAGAACCTAGTGTTATAGCTATGCATATTCCAAACCTGATTAAAAAAAGGATCAAAGACCGAAAGTAAAAGTTGGCTGTGAAACTTAGGTACATAACACTACAAGTTGAAGGGTAATTGTATTAGACAGCTTGATAAAGTCTTTCAAAAAAGGATTTGAGTTCTCATTAATTAAAGCAGACGAAGGTAACTGTTCTCATGGCTTTCCTCTGTAAGTTAAGTAAGGGTTGCAATATTGACTGATGTTAAACGATAAAAAAGGGGCTATATTTAATCTGAAATATCGTAAGGGTTTCCTTATATTGGTGTCGGGGAAAGGAAAGGAAATATTATATTACTTTAAACCTTTCCTGCAGGGGATTATAAAAAAAGGCAGGTTTATTACTTCTTATTCCTTTTGAAAGCCTTATCTTAAAGGTAGAGTTTGGTCACGTTTTCCTCGTTATGATAGTGAAGTTGACATGGAAACAGTTACTCAGTTCTACGGTAATTAGAACTCGTGATAGTGTCTTGAGAAAGCTTTGTTATTAATTAAGTTAATTTGTCAGTACAGGAAGAGTGAATCTCTCTGGAAAAAGGTCACTTTCGACACCTCTCGTTCTTAAAGGTGTAAACGTGTGGCACCTTCATGTTTTGCAATTAGAAAGTTATTATGACTAGCACGTAGAAACTTGGGGGGCGGTACTTGTGAACGCCCCTTCTTCTCCAACTTTTGTAATCATGATGTTGTTATGTAACGGTCTTCTAGGGCAATTTTCTCTTAAGATACCCCTTTAGATGTGAATAATATTCCGTCAATAGGATAGTTATGATTTTTATATTACCAATCTCGTTTCTGTTCTGGCCGATTTCAACTGTAATAATAAGAAATTTAAGGTGGAAAATGATTTTGTAACTGCGCAAATAACTCGAAGGCGCATACCTAGTAAGCAGGAACTGTCATACGTAATCTAACGTGATTCGCTGGCTGAGATGGAACGATGACGATACAAGAAGATTGACAGCTTAGTAGTGTCATCTTTAGTGTCACTTTATAAACGGTGACCCTCATTTTTCTCATAAGATAGGAGTCAGTCCCCGTTGTAACAACTTGAGAAGAAAAGAGATTAAAAAAGAATCAACTAAACAAACAACGAGTGTTGGAGAATTTACTTCTGACACTGATACGCCGGGATTACTCCATGCAATTATGCAATAAATTAAGAATGGTTCCACCAAGGTACGATACAGGGACCATAGGGTTTTTGTGTTGAGGAACTAGCGAAGCTTTTTGAGAATACCAATACTTCTTTTGATTTTCATTTCTAGATAGTTAATGTGACTCTTCCAGCTAACATTTGAATATATGTATCAGTTTGGATTGCAAAAGCATGCCCGCTATGTTGCAAAATTGACAGTTAGTTTTATGTCCTGCCAAACCTTAGTTAGTGGATGAACACCCTGTGGTTGAAGGGCGGTTAAGATTCCCAAGCAGCAGGCTTAGGAGGGGTTCTAAAACATGATGGTACCTAACGGAACTCTCTTGGATTAATAATTGGTTACTGATAAAGAGCGTAACCTTTTTGGGACTCGATTTTTAACGGGGTGAATAATTACACAATTTGACTTTTCAATATTTACTGAAAGCTTGTTTTCAGATAGCCGAGTATGGACGTCATCAAATTCACTGTTAATTACACTTTCAAGTATGCTAATGTATTCATGCTTAAGAACTAAATTTTCATCATCTGTAACTAGGCGAAAATAAAATATTATTGAGCAAGGATGAAAATCCGGTGCAACCAGTTAAATGTCAGGTATTCAGCTCCACTGGTCTCCACTTGCGTTTGCCAATTTTGGTCGAGGGAGAATGTTGCCCGATAGCCTGCCGAACTGGCAAAATTCTTTCTTCTGATTTGTTGTTGTTGTCTATCATGACGACGTTCAAAGTTTTAAGCAGGAAGCACATACCTTGAAATTCGGGCGGATCATTCTTCTTTCGTCATGCCTAAATTATCTTTGAGATCACTGTATCCAAGCTTTTGTGTAAATTGCTGATTTCCATGAAATTGATTGTTTTCGCGACCGATGTAATGAGCCTTTTTAGCAATGACGCGCTGACTTCCGGTGTATTCAGTTCGGAAGTAGTTACTATTGCTAGCTAACTTAGTCGCCTTCGCAGCCGTTCTCTGACGTAACGTGACGAGTCTGAGAAGATTTCAGCTGGCTTTGATCGATACACATTCATTTAACTGAAGGCCTCTTACACTCTTGTCATTTGTTTAGTTTTGACTGATCTTTAATTATCAGTGGGACCTCACCTCTACCGGTGGATTGTACATACTTCCTGTGAGGGTTTCCTTAGAGCGAATCAGATCTCAGCTGATCTATTACGTCATTCTATTCTTCTATAAAATTTCGCGTGACGAAGTAACGAAGGCATATTTACTCTGCTGATGTGGTCGATCTAATCTAATTTCTTGCCAGGTAAGAGTGACAATGAATTCTCAGTTTAAAAAAGCCGAAATAGGTGTATAAAGTATACTATTTATAACATTCTACCGTGGCATTCAGTTCGTTTAAACGGTCACATCGAAGCGAATGACTCAATCGTGAAGGTTGTCATCTTTGGTCGTGGTTTTGCCGGTCTTAAGTTTTCTTGCTAAGTCAGCAAGTGTGTAACACCAAGATGAAAACGAAATCAAAATTATTTCTCTTCAGTGCATTATCGATCTAGCCTTTGAAATATTATGCCTTGATTGCTGAAGCGGAGTTACCTCTACAGCACTTATTATTACAATCTAATTGCAGCCTCTCTCCTTATCCGAACTGAAATGATTACAGATAGTTTGTTAGTTTTCACTTCAGAAACTATTTTCATCCGATCCCCTTTCAAATATAATTTCATTTTATGTACACCCGTTTTCAAAAACGATGCAATATGAAAAAGAATATACGAAATTGATACATTTTTTTCTGTCATCAAAACGCTTCTCTTTGATGAGAAAACGAAAGTATATGTATTGCAAGTGTTAGGGCTACTGTAACTGCAAGTAACATTAATTATATATGGTGTTACACAGAACCTTCTATATGATAATATATACACACAAGCATTTACAGGTTTTTTTTCTGATTTTTGGCCATACATCCTGACTCAAACATTTCATTATGACAACAAAGGATATTAAATAAGACTATGGGAGGGGATAGCACATTGGTCAAAGTGCCCAACCCCCTCCTCCTCCCCCCACTTTTGTTAGAGTCTGATTCCTTAACCTGGGCCCAGTTGTTCAAAGGCTGATTGGTGCTAACCCAGTGTTAAATTTTAATCCAGGTTTCTATATTTCTCTGTACAAAAGTCCTTTTGGAATAATTTTACTCTTTGTTTTGAGAGCATTTAATTATCAAATTGTAGTCAAAAAGAAATAAACTGAATTTGCTCTTCAAGCTTTCAGATCTGAGATCAAATTTCACACTAACCTCAGGTTATCTTAACCCATGCAGCTTTGAACAACTCAGCCCTGGGGTCTATTCATCTCAAGGGCCCAGTTGAAAGGCCCTTTTTTGCACTTACCAATGAACCTGAAATACATTGTCAATGTCAAAATAGCACAAGGACAAGTCTGTAAAAGCTAACAAGAACTGATAATCTTTTTTTTTTTTCTCAGATAAACCCCAATGATGCAGAAAAAGGGATCTGAGCCTGATTTTACAGAGCCATGGCATCTTAGTGATTCTGTCCTTGTTGTTGAGGAGAAGAAGTTCCATGTTCACAAGGGTACTTTATCCATGTGGTCACCAGTGTTTGAAAGAATGTTCTCCTCAGAGTTCAAAGAAAAATTTGCAAGTGAGATCCCTCTTCCAGGAAAGAATGCCTCTGAAATAAAGGAGCTGTTGCTTGTCATTTACCCAACATCAAAACCAATTGGTGAAAATAACTGTTACTTCCTTCTTCCCTTGGCAAGAGAGTATCAAATGGAGCAACTCACAGAGCGCTGTGAAAAGTATCTGCTACAGAGAGAAAAGACTCCTCACCAGGCTATTGACTTCCTTGTATTAGCTAATGAGTTTAACATGGAGGAATTGTGCAAACAATGTGTTGAAATTGCTAAACACATGTCAATATCAGAAGTGCGACGTCATGAGAAATATGCCATGATTGCTCCAGAGGAGGGCAGACAATTGGCTGAAAGGAGAGTGGAGTTACTTGAGAACAAGATGCAAAGCAGTGAGCAAAGGGTGAATTCTGTAAAGAAAGAAGTCAAAGATGTGTGTGAGTGGGGAGTAAGGGAACTGGGACGGGTTTTGTATCAGAAGAAATACCCAGAAGGAAGACGAATTCCACGTGCTGTTAGTGATTGTACAAAGCTCATAGAGGAAACAGCAGTGGAAAGTGTTGAGGTTGCTGTCATGATACAGTTGGTACAACATCGCCTTCGAAGTATCTATGAGCCAATGTACAGTAATAATCAAAAATAAGTGGACAGTTTTAACTTAAAACTCAGTCCTTGAATTTATTGAGAATCAATGATCAAGAATCTGGGCTCAAATGACAAATCCCCATCTTTTTCAGGAGCTATGTAGATAAAGGCAACAGATATTGTAATGCTATTGATGTAAGGTACCAATACAAATGTAAGCAAGTTCTCTCTTAAGGCAGATCAAAGAAATATGAAAGGACATGTAGATGGTTCAGAGAGGGTTTGTGTTTCTTTTCATCTGTGCCTAGGGTAACAATTCTTTTGTTGTTTAGAACATGTTATGGTAAACTCAACCCTTTTTTTTCACTTTCATTTAGTAGGAATGCTTACTAGATAGCTTATAGGACACCATTTTTTTACAGAGAGGTAAAACAGTTTAATTAACAGAAAAAAAAACTTATTGGAAATATAGTATAAAAGTAGAAAGTGCATGCAAAAAACATAATAAATATATAGCAAAAGTTAACGTGCAAGCAGAGAATGTAAAAATGAACAACAAATAAGGCACTGAGTCAATCAGTTTTATTAACAATATTATAAATATTTTCCTTTTCCCATTTCCTTTTCCATTATGTCAAGAAACATCTGCTTGAGGGAGTTGTCACAAAGGTATTAAAGGGTCTGGCAAAAGTGGATGTTCTGGGAAGGTGACTGTTGAAAGAGTTTCAATTATAATACATGTATATACACTGTACAGACAAGACATTGATCAAATTTGTCCTTTATTGTTCCAAAAATAATATTCTATGAGCACCACGACTTTTAAATTCATGTACAATTCTAATACATATTCATTGTGACAAGTATTTGGCATTTCACTATAGTTTCAAGACATTCTTGTCACAAGTTGTTGTTCTGTTGATCTTCTACAAACTGCTTCAATGTTGCTGGGTCAACTGGGATATACAAATATTCTACACCATCAGCACCCTGTAATCAATGACAGAGAACAAATTACAAGACTATTAATAATAACTTTATTTTATTTTAAAATTGTCAGTTTTGAATTATTAAACCTTTACACTCTTACATGAGTATTAATATTCTCCACACTAATCTTTTTACGTTTCCTGTGGTACTGAGAAAGATAACTTGATTGACAATCGGGAGCTGAAAATGGCAATCATTTCCTTTATTTTTGTGGCCTACATATTTTATTCAAGGGTGATACTACAAGGAAAAATTAGAAGATAGTCACTCTGAGGGGTTTAAGGGTTGATTGGCATGATTTTTCACCAAGAACAAGGCATGTGAAACTGTAATTTGAACTGACTTTTTGCATATGATGTTGTACAACAAAATGTCCTGTGCAGTGCTTGGTTTCAACAGAATGACAATTGTGTTTAACAAACCTAATAAAAATACTGGCAAGTATAAACCACTAGTGATTGATGGCTTGTCATGCACATACAGAAGTTGCTTCTGAAAGGAAGCATTGGCTGAGTCAAAAAGCCAAAACATAAATGCCGGAAATATCACCTTCTTGGAAGTTATAAGTTTGTGATCACGAAATTCTATCAGTTGAGCTTTCAGTGTTGAGTCACTGTTTACAAGGAACTGTTCACGGCATTTGGAGTAACAAGAATTAAATGACAGCCCTGTGAAAGAACAAGAAGTGACTCAAACAACTGCAGTTAAATACCACCTAATTATTCTATAACAGCTTCAGAGAGAGACAGGTAATGTACTGAAGCCATCTCTCAACCACTGAGCTATAGAGAGCTCATTGTCAAACCAGGCCTAGCATTTTATTACAGGGGTGGTTCACATGTGACAACCTTCTTAAACAAGGCCCTTAAGAAAGATGGTTACTTAATTAACCTTCACTTATGCCTAAAGTTTTAACTTTGAATTTGGTTGAATGAGAAAGTTTTCTTGTCCAATCACAGAGAAAGACAAAGCGAAACCTGCAAGGCAATCTAGGATTACTTATGACACTCAAATGGAGATGACTCTAACTTGCAAATAATTAACTATTATCCACCAAACTGGCGGTGAATAGTAGTGGATATTCACTGACACTGAGGTGAATAATTGTTTTGGTATATACCACATCAGTACCAAAAAGTTAGTTTCTTTCACTCAATAAACCAAAAAATGGTGGAAAATTAAGCTCTTGACGCACAGTTTTGTCCCTTTGGCTGTTCTGAGGTGAATGCTCCTTGCTAACCACTTCCAAACTGACCAATCAGCATGCACAAAAGGCACTAATCACTTACATGGTACATGTATATACCAAAAAGGGATATAAATAAGGCCTTTCTTTCTTCATTCCACACAAATAAGGAGTAAAGACAAAGCCATCAACTAAAAAGTGATACCTTGATATTTGTTAGCTGCAAAGGAGAATTACTAATCAGATGCTGAGGTTTAAAAGCTTCACACACCAACAATACCAAAAGGTCTCTTTATGTAAATGTATCTTGGAACTCATTAGTAGCAGGATTAACCGTAACATCAGTACGCAAATTCTCCATAATGTTCTCAATATATTTCCTGAGGTCCTAATAAGGAGAATTTGTTTGACAATCAAGAATTTCTTTAGTTGGTGACTGTTTCCTTTACTTGCACAATCTAAATGTTTGATTCAGGACTAGATGCTAGTAACTCTTACCGGTTAATATGTTAAGAACTGCTTACCAATATAACTACTGTTATCCTTTTCATCAAGCTGATGCTGTGCTATTAAGATAAAGATACCACGGGCATTAGGAGTCAAACTACGGAACACATGAACTAACGAACTAAGTGCCAGAGCCCCTGTGTGCTGGACCAGCAGTGAGTTTTCATATGATGTCTCTTCCCTATATGGTTCAAAGGATGTAACATCAAACCAGGACCAGTTAAAACGGCTCAGCTGAGTATGATTCCAGACTGAAAAGATTCCAACTCAATAAATAAGTAATCAACTCAGCAACAGCTACATAAATTATTCATAATTATCAATTTAAGTATCCTAACTGATGGTTCATCAGCTAGGGCAATGCACCTAAACTTTTCAGAAATATTTCATTATTTTGATATCTTCATGAAAAATTATTCTATGTATTTAAATATCATTCTTGAGATAATATTTACATATTAAACTATTTTAATATCTTGAGATTTCCAAGCAATGATATGACAAGTAAATCACAGACACAATTCCTTCAATTCTGAAAATCTCTTTTTTGCATCATGATTCTTTTTCTCCTAGTGGGTAAAAATATATGTAAAATATAAAATGATTTAGAGAAAAAAAGTGAAAACAATTGGCCTTTCCTTTTTCATGCTGTATGGGTTCTTTCATCAAGAAAATATGTGATGTACAAGTATGCACACTAAGTACTGTAATGCCATGACACAATACTTATAATTTACGTAATAAAGTGCTGAATGTACATGTCAAAGAATGCAAGTTCACATGACTATTGCAAAAACACAACAAAGCAGATTGATAACAAAAAACACAGAAGTCTCTTCTTTAGTTAATCACCACTACAATGACTGCTCTGTCAGTCTAAACAAAACTAAATGATTGTACTAACTTAGAGGTGCATTGATGTGATCAATACTAGCAATGATATGAAGAGTATCCACCTCTGCAAGAAGGCTCAGAATTGTCTGAGTCTGAAACCAAACAGAAATAAAGTTTTTGAAAATCTGCCCTAACTGCTGAATGGCTGTTAACTTCTTCCAGTATTAATACAAACAAATTAAGATAAACTATGGGGGAAGATAACTTGTTTGGCTGAGCAATGGACTGACAGCACATCTACCATATACAATTTAACTTATAATCACCACTCCTCCATCTAAAATTAAATCAACTCAAACCCTTTGACTGTCAAACATAAAAAACCATGAATACCTGAATTATTTTGGGAATGTTGTGGCCTTAAAACAAATAACAATTTTGGGGATCAAGATATGGGGACAAACCCCAATGCCACAGAGTAATACCATCACTGACAGTAATAAAACAGTTACACTATTGTATTTTTCTTGCATATGCCATGATGGCTTATTCTTGACTAGTTTTAGTGTGGACAGTTTTCTGAGTTCCAAAGCAACCCTACCACTAACAATGCTTGATTGGAAAAACAATAATGTATAGAACCCCAGGTAAAGATTTATCTTGTAAGAGAACAATAGCTAGACCATACACATACACATTACTTGGCCCATTGAATTTGGGTCATGTCCAAAAATAGAAAACAGAGGCTATAACACTAGCATAATGCTGTGAGCCTATCATTGGGTTTTAATAGCTAGTGGAGAGTAAACAAACCTTTTTGGATCTTAACATGGAGCCATCAATATTATGAATAACCAGAAAAATCTCCTCTGAACCTAAAAAAAATAAATGTTAGAAAAACTTATAATTAGGTACATTATAAAGTCTGTAATTCTTAACACTTAAATTTAAAAAATAGTGGCTTTGGAATCACCATCATAATACATTTATGTACTTATCGGAAAATTTAGAGAAAAAATGCTTTGTCATAAGTTATAAATATTCAGGACAGATATCCACTGAACCTAAAAAATACATGTTAGAAAAACTTAAATAATGCATTATCATATAATATCATTATAGTATGTAGTTCTTAAAATTTTAATATAAAAATGATGGCTTTGGAATCACAATAAATATGTGTCAAGCACTTATTGGAAAATTTAATAAATACCCCCATTATCTTAACCAAGCTTAACTCACATTTGTCACTGCAAAGGTTCTGTTTTATGTAGTCACACTGATCTGTCACACTCTTGAAAGATCCATCATACATAAGAACCTCTTCAGTTAAAATGTTTAGAACCTTCAAGAGTAAAAAGAGATTATTTGTCTCTGCAAGTAAATAATAATAATAAAAAATAACCATAATAATAACAAATAATAGATATAATATTAAACAATTATATACCACACAGGTGATTAGTGCTTTTTAAACACACTCAGATTGGCTAGTTCAGAAATGATTAGCAAATATTCTCCTCTGAGAAGCCAAAGAGACAAAATAGTGACAAGAGTTTCATTTTAGACTATTATTTGTTACAGTCAATTTGACAACAATAAACCAATTTTCTTCTTTTTGTTTCTGTGTGGTATAAACATTGTACTAAGACAATTATTCACCTCTGTCAGTGTCTGTGAAAAATAATTGCTGGTATACATTAAATGTAAAAGAACAAAACAAGTAGGGTGTCTCTCCAGTGGTTTAAACCTGATTGATTGAATGGTCAATCCTGCTCCCCAATTTAATCACCATGCACTTTTAACCCTTTACACCCTAACATCAGTATCCATCTTCTCCATACTCTTCTTTATATGTTTCTTTTGGTACTGACAAGGAGAACAACCTAAGAATCAAAGCTTCTTAGGTTGGCGATCATTTCCTTTATTCTCCTGATCTTAATGAATGGTTTAGCAGTATTACTATAAGGAGAATTTAGGTGCTAGTCACTCTCAGGGTTTAAAGGGTTAATAGAACTACAAAGTTGATCCAAGTTCACCCAAGGTTATCAATACCATGGATTTAAAGTTAGTACATCTACAGGTCCAAATTTGTAACCACAGATTGATCCAGAATTAGACGTACAGTTATTAATCCCAAACTAAGGATCTACAAGTGCAACATATCCAAAGTAATGCTATAACTACATGTAGCAATCCAAATTTATCACTACAAATCCATAAATACATGTAAAGCTAAGGATTCCAAGTTATTCAATGAAAGCGAACTTTGGATCCATAATTATCACAGTAGATCCATGGTCACTGATACTGATATCCTCATTTTTTGTTTCTTTAGAATAGCACTTCCAAGTCACTGAAAATGAGAATAATTCATGTAAGGGAGAAAAAAAAACCCAAAAAATTTAAACAAAATGTACCTGATCTTTTAAGAAATAAAATAGTTTTTAGTAATGATCACACAGTTCTTTTATAAACAAGATAGAGCTGTAACCTACAAGTACTAATTGTGATAACATTCCATGACTTATAGATCACTTACATTTTTTATGGTGAGACTGGGGAAAAATCCATTAACAACAACTTGAACACTTGAAGAAAGTTTAGATGAACGGAATTGATCAAGGAGAACTCTTTTGGATCCAAGGCCATAGAGAAGAATGTTGAATCCATTTCTATGTAAGAATCAAAGCAGTATGCAATGTTCAGTGAAGTTTGCAATACTAAAAACCAACAGAAACTAACTAGGTGAGTTATGAAATTTACCAAAAAGTGCATTCTGAGCTATTAGCTCATATTACACCTTCATCTGCTATTGCCACAATAATGCACAGCTGCACATGTAGTTATTTTGTTTGTAGGTTTTTCAAAGGACAGAAGAGGCCATACATGTAAACCAAAAAGTGTGACCTGTGACTTAAAATTGTGGCACTCAAAATTCCAATTATATCAAAATAGCTGTTACCTCTCTGAACTTTTGGTCACATTTATGCTCTTATCTCCTTTATGTTCAGTTGACTTAATGTTTACTCATGGAACATTTTTGACAATAGAACAAAAGTCTTCTCAGCAGTTGAAGTTTCATACAAATATACATATAAGCATTCCTCATGATAAATTTGATGAACATCAGATAATTTATTGCAAGAAGAAAATTTCGAAAGGTGACTCTTCAATACCAAAAGTAATTGAAGCTACAGGTAATTTTAAATTAATAATGCCAATAATCAAGTTTTTTTTTTTTTACTCTCTTCCAGTTGCAATACATATTCAAGGAACTCTTCCAAAGGATAAAAGCAGTTTATGAATATTCATAAAAATATGTTGAGTTTGCAATAACTTTCAGGAACAAATGCGAAAGCAATCTTTGCAGTTAAGTGGTGAAAATGAGGCCTGACAAAAAAAAATGTCAGGCCTATACAGGATTTTAACCCATGATCTTTTCAATACTGGTGCAATGCTCTACTAACTGAGCTAACAAGCTAACTGGGAGCTGGTCATTTTTTGGGATTGTAATAAACTCATAAAGTGATGAATCAATGACTGTGAATATATATTAAGTCATATAATAGTATGTAAACTGCCTTTTGAGGAATGAATGTGAAAGGGATCTTTGCAGTGATGGACACAACTCAAGCCCACCCTGCTCACCTTAAATGGAATATCCACTTGTCAAACAGACCTTGCAATTTGTGATACAACTCAAATCTTTCCTTAGGGTGTGAGCTGGATACTTGATTTAAATGCGACAACAGTTTCTGCCAAAAAAAAAAAAGAATGGTGATTGTTTATAGAAGCCGCTTCTGCTAAATAAACAATGTCTAACACAGGCTCTCAGCAGAAAGGTTTACAGACCACTGAGAGAAAATTCCTTTCCTGAATATATACTTACACAGAAAGACCAAGAGGAACCTTCAAAGATTATTAACTAACGATCATTTGAGTATCATATATTGACAAGGAAACATTACATGTCGGTATAACATGTTAAAGATTAACCCCTTACACCCTAACATCAGTATTCATATTCTCCATACTGTTATCTAAACATTTACTAAGGTGCTGACAAGGAGAATTTGTTTAACAATCAAGAGTTTTTTTAGTTGGTGATCATTTCCTTTATTCTCATGACATTAATGTGTGATTCAGTAGCAATATTGTAAGGAGAAATTAGATGCTAGTCACTCTAGGGGTTAAAAGGTTAACAGAACATTGCACTTACTTGTTGATCCATTCGTGGCATATTCAGTTTGGAGAGTGTATGATCAGACGTGATACACTTAGAGCTTTGTTGCTCAAAGAACTCTTCATGAGCATCTTCCAGCTAGAGAACAGTAATTCCATGAACTTTTAATTAGGAATACTTTCAGTCATTACTCAGTTAGTTGACTGCACACTGAAATGAAACCGCCACTTGCTTTTTACACCTTTTTACTGCAATATATAAAAGCCCATTGGTTTCCCTCTTAGAATATACAACACAATAATTTATACTGTCTCATACCTGGTTTGAATTTCCTTTGGTGCCTTTCTTGTAAACTCTAAAATATCAAAAAGACTTCAAATGCTCTATCATATACTACCTTAAAGTTTTTATATTTATTAATAATTAAGCTTTTTAACATTGATATAATTGCAAAAATGTACCAAAAATTAACTGCATTAATGTTAAATGGTTAGTGTACCTTGTTGGTGTTTCATCAACAGTCCCTGATCCACTGTCAGAATCATTATCATCTGTATCAGATTCATGTTCAACACCTGCAAAATAAATTCAACATGTAACACTGAAGTCCTATGATTTAATCTGTGATCCACCCATTTGGCAGCAAGACAAACATACTTGTACAACATACATCTTAATCCTTTTTCTCCCAAGATCTCATCTTAGCAATTCTCCTTACTGTCTGCCATACAATTCTCATGATGCTAGTTCGGAGAATTTGGTATTGGATCAACTAATAATATCCTAATTGACATTTTTCTTTATTCTCATCACTTATCTACTTGATATATTATGAGACAAAATTCTGTTCTTAGTCATTCGTGGGAGTTAAAGGTTAAAGTAAGTTACTGTATTTCCTTGAATAAGCACCCATGCGCTCATTTGAAATTTCAGCTACATGTAAAAGGAGTGGTGCTTATTGGAAGGGGGGCACTTAATCAAGGGGGCTCTTATTAAGAAACTATTTAACTGTACTGATTCCACTGTAGCTGACACTTAGAAAAGTTATAAATTAAGTGGCAATAGAGACAGGTTTTTGCTGTATCCCTGTATTTAAGAAAGTTAGGGAGGAGGGCACTTATTCATGAGGAGGACTGGTTTGCATTATAGCCTAAAGGGTGGAAATATAGTGCATGTAAAAGAAATTAAGCATTTAATCAAAATAACATTCATATTATATTTTGTTGCATGTACATTCTAAAGTGAATGGTTAAAAGCAATTCACGCCATACACCACATGTATTTACATTCCATAGGCTTCAAATCGCTCCCCGTTTCAATTTTTGGGCAAGCAATAAGTTATTACATTTACCATTAAGTAGACCTTCCCTTCAGTGATGCCCAAAAAAAAGCCCCATGTGAGTGAGTAAAAACACCTTCAAAGCACCCTTCTTCTCACCAAAAACAAGACAGTGCAAGAGTAATATGTGAAAATATTAATGTTTCACTGCTAATATTTCCTTATCATTGGAAGACAGACCTTTTAAAAGAACAGCTTTTCTTCTATGACGCAAAGAGTAACTACTTCTCTTGTTTTCATCTTGAGTTCCAGTTGCTGGGTTTTCCTGCAAAAAATGTAAACAGTGTTTAACATTTTTTTTGGTTTCATTTACAAGAAGAGTTGTTTAATAGTTTCACAAAAGCCCTGAAGAAGTTCAGAAATAAAGGTTATATAAAAATTTACTTTATCAAGACATGTAAACTGCTGTGTTACACAAGGATTTCCAGTCCTGAGAAAAGCTGTAACAACACATGTGAAAAAATATCTGTCAGTGAGTTTTTCAAGTGTGTTTGATGTTGCCAATCAGCTGATGACACATTACTAGCATTTTGTGCTACTCGGTCAGGTTGATGAATGAACCACAAAACCCTCACCATTCTCAATCCAAGGTCATTTGAATGTCTGATTTTTTTTTATAGATTATGGTGACAAAACATGGAAAAATCTGTATTGTATTCTAAAAGCAATTTTGTTATCTTTCACTTTCCTATGTTTCAGAAAACTTTAATAAAAACAAAACTATGAAAAATCAAAATCAAACCCATTTCAAGAATTTAAAACCTTAGAAATAATTGAACCACAATGTATTATGCTTTTGACTTTCACAAATTTAACACTGTCTTAAATATACAAAAATAAGTTTTCAAAGAACTGCAGTAACAGTGTAAGCACTCCATAGATCATTGTCTACAGCCAAGAAATTTTTCTCAAAATCAAATAAGCAATTCTGACCCAAAGGTCACTTTCTCTCTTATTCAATGTAGATTAACCACAATTTTTTTTTTGCTGATATCAAATAGTGGAATTCCTTTTAATACATAAAAATTGAATTAACTTCAGTTGACAATCTATATTTGGTATACACTTGAAGTTCAATAAAGTTCAATTAAAAAAAAAAAGTTACCAATATTTAATATCTAATCATGATCTAAACATACCTTACCTTCTCAATATTTGACGATGCAACAACCTTTTCAGCACCTTGAAAATGGTAGGAGAAAAAAAACACTCATTAAAAAACTGCACTTAGCAAATTGAACACCACTGGAATAAGAATAATTATGCAATATCTTCCCTTGAATTCAAATATCTATCAGCAAAATGAAATTTCTTAGACAGAAATCTTGATTTTTAGGTCTCCTGTGAGGAAGAAACATGGTAAGTCTGTTTTGGTATTAAGATTAAACACAATTTGTGTTCCAGCAGAACCATAATTATCACAAACTGAATTAACCACAAGTGTGCAGTAGAGAAAACCCTTAGACTGCCTTGGGTTGTGAATGCACAGCCTTCATTGAGTTTTAAATACCTGTTTTTATGGTATGAAGAAACAATCAAACTACTCATTAAATGTGTTAAGTATTTTGTGTTTCTGTGAACAATCTCCAGCATAATTGTAACTAAGACTAACCATTACCCCTGGACAGCCAGTTTAAAGATTGGCTAGTCACTAAATAAACCAAACTGAACCTGCATGTTTCACAATCCACATTTTTTTTAGGTACAAATTTTTTCACACCAGTTTAATTTTTATTTCTTCCAGGTTATTATTATAAATACTGGATAAACTGAAGAAAAACATGAACCAAAACATATCTGTAAGAGAAACATCTTGTTTTTCTCTTATAATGATGCTATTAATAGAAGATCTCCATTTTGCTAACAACAATGCTTAAACAACATCTGTACATCATTTAACTCATAAAAACAAGAAAAAAAAATCAGAATTAAGTTTGAGAAGATATCAGACATACACCTTTGCTTTTCTTGTTGCTCTTCAGAGTTTTCCTTCTGTCATTTGGCTGTGTGCTCTGAGTATGGTGAATTGGAGTTTTGTTGTGAATTGCTGACATTGCTAGGAGGAGAAAACTAACAAATGTTAAATACATAAAAAATCAATGGCTAAATTCATTCATATATAAAACACAAATTCCACATAATGCTCCTCTGTTTTCTTCTCTGTTGTCATTGTTTTGCTTTTGTTGTGGTTAGTTTTTTAGTTCTTTTCTTTTCTTTCCTGTAAGGCACATTACACCTCTACATTTACAATGGACTCCTCCACATAAATCAAGAGAACCAAAAGTTTAAGGTAGCAGCCCTACCCAAACCACTTCCTTTCTTGTGACAGCTGGTAACCAAGGTAGACCCCAATTAAACCTAACTCTGATGGTCTCATTTAAAGAATTCCTTTCAAACCAATTTGAATAATTTGTGACAAGGTGGTAACATGATTGTTTTCCCAAATTTTCTCCTTAATTGTTTTGGTATCAGTGATGACATTTGTTGTTTTTCTTCTTCCTTTCTTCTTTTTGCAATAGTACAAGTTTAGTGACACAAACTAAAAGATAGCATAAACTCATTGGCAATACTTATCGTGAAAATTAAGAGCAAATACATTTAGTACAATAATCATAATCCTTTGAAATAGTTCTGGCTGCAGATACGCCTTTGCAAATTTGCGAAATATCTGATACATATGATAAAGTGAATTTGGGTTGATGGCGAACCAAAACCGAGCCAAGACTAACTCGACCGGGCCAGTGTTCTACTAAACAACCCAATTTTCTCTTTTCTTCTTTTCTTTTGAACACCAACATTTAACTCGACTTACCAGCTTCAGCCAAAGCACCACGACGCTTGGGAGTATGAAAACCAAACAGTGTTGATCCACTGACTGGTGTGTCATCTGAATATTGCAAAAAGAGAATAATGACTTGAACTTTCGGAGCTGTATTCAATCATGAACAGTTATGATACATCATTGTTAAAGAGAAGCTGTTATAACTTTAAAAGCAAGGCTATTTCATCAAAATATCAAGGGTACTTGGGTGAATAACTTGAGGAATAACACTAGTACAACAGTTTCTATTTTACTTGGTGGGTAAGTTGCGAGAAAGTCGCCGGCGGTATTAAAATGCAAGTTTTCACGTACGTAACTTTCGCAAATTGGTTTAATAGAGTCTTTAAGTTGACAAGCACTGACTCGACTGTACTGACTACAGTTAGGGCATATAAAGGCACCTGATATATTTTTCGAAACCTACCTGTCGGTCGAAACCCACATTTCTTAAAATATGGGACATCTTCATCGCTTACAAATTCAACTTCTTCCGCCATTTTGTCGCAGTGTCATACCCAGTCGATCTCATTCACGTTTTTCGTGTGAAGTAGGAGGGAAGAGGGACTAGGTAGAGTGGGAAAGAATGCTTTTTTCCCACCAATGAAAGCCAAGAGGAGATCGTTTACAAGAAGTATATAACGTAGTCCATTTTCTACCGTGGTCACGTGTAATTTTTAGCAAATTATATAAGAGCAAGACTACTTGAATGTTACCAAATGTCGTCATCACACTGCAATATTCAAATAAGGATCTTGGAAATTTTGACACGGAATTCCGAACTATGATTTAGAAAGCTACTTATTCTTTCACGCTGTTGCCCAAATAAACTCACAATTATATCAAGATAAATACATTTTAGATACTTCATACTAATTGGTATAACCAGAACATATGTGATCTGGTAATTGCAAGAATTTAGGGGTCAGACAAGTGGCCAAAAAAAAATTCACCATGCCACAGATCCGATGGTGAGAGAAGGGAGGGTTGGGACCCACCGACCCATCCCTGGATCCGCCCCTGATTGATATTTTTGGCTCTTAAAGGAGCCTTTTTTGAAGGTCCTGCAATGGTAGCATTACAGGCTTTCTAAGATGGGAAGTCTTGGATCTAGTTTGGATAGATTTTTCACGACCATAGAGTTTCGAAATTGAATAATCGCGGCTGAAACGTTGAGGTCTTACCGCGGAGAGTAAGAAATTGATTTATGTAAAATTGTGGTTATATATGGCACAAACACAATGAAAAAAGAAAGTCAATATTGAGTATCTAGCTATATTTTGGAAAATTTAGATGTATGTCTTCATGTATATGAAATGACTTAAAAGTAGGACCTGCAATCCGAGCCTACTAAAAGCTGTAAAAGCTTTCAGTGGAAATAGATGTTCAGAATGATTATTTATTACAGGCCCTCTATGTGCACTACACTCCCCCCCATGTTTTCATAAGTACCTGCTTTAGCAGCCTTAAAAGATTTGCAAACGATTGCATGATGTTGTTGTGCCTCAAAAGTTTCAAAATTTCAAACAAGGGGTTTATAAAAAATAATTATTTCAATCCTGGGTGGCATCAGCCGACAGTAAAAGCATCTGACCTGGCTGTACGGTGAAAGACTATCTTTTGTTTTTCATTTACTTTCTTTTAACAAATTAACCATAATGGCTTTTCACGTAAAAAAAATTTCTTTTTGGTACTTCCATCTTCAAATTTTTTAATTTAACTTGTCGATACATACTTTCTAATTTCTTTTTTTATGTGTGAGGATTATGTGGTTCTCAACGGTGATATTTACAAAACGTTCCAACTTTAAACAAAGGAAAAGTAATTAGGACTCCTTTATTCTTGT